TGAATCTGAAGTGGATCCTCTGAGTGACATTATGCTGTTCCCTTGGAATTCACTTAGGGTGAAATCACATGAGAAGTCTGAACTGATATAGTGTCTGTGCTGCTGAGAAGAGTCATCGCTTCTGTCTCTCCGTCCTGGGCATGTATTCCCACCGTTTGCCTGGCTCTCTGAGCCCCCTTGCAGAGCTGGCAGGGGACTAACCAGGGAAAGAGGTGGCTATTGCTGAGCTAGTGAGTCAAATCGTTGCCCAGAGAAGCCTGCTAAGTGCCAAAGTGTGGTAAAGGGAGAGGGCAGAGGGTAGAACTGTGGTTACTGGAAAATGCAAAGGAGGGGGAAAGAGGAGGGAGGAGCAGGAAGAACGGGGAGTGGTGGTAAACTCTTAGATAAACTAAGCTGTTGTATGTAAATTTGCCTTTACAGACTATTTGACACAATGTGGGGAAACTTTTTACTTATTTATTTATTTGTTTTTCTTCCCCCTGAAGACTGAATAGGCCTTTCAAACACTGTTGGCAGACCAGAGGTTATTATTTTATTACCATCTATGAATAGTGCAAAAAATAATCTGGCTGCAAGCTGTATGAAAGAATATTTTGGGGAACATAAAAGCTCTTTTCTTGCCATATATTCTCATCTGTGAACAAGTGCTTTACCCAGTGACATCAGGAAGGCCAAGCTAATCTGTAGCTCATGGTGTTGCTAAATTAGGTGTAATTACTGACGAGTGTCTTTGCAAATTTCTTTTCACCCTAGGAAGCAGGATCATTGGTTGGTTGGAAGATCCATTTTAGTTTTTGTATAGATTTCTCACTGTCCAAATGCACCTGGAGAGTGATGGTCCGCACAGGCTGGAGTTGGATACTATTTAATCATCTATTTTAGCAAAACATGTTTGCATTTAGCAAAACGCTGCATTTAGCCTGCAGGTGAAATGGCTTTTTGAAAAGGGTTTTGATACATAGTGTTAATCTGGAAAAGGGGCTCGGCAGGTAATTTCTTATTTGACAAAGTATTATGTATTATAGTAGCATCCTGTAAAGGGGATCTAGCCATATTGTCACACTTCTAGCCAGTGGAATTAGGAGACTTCAAGAAGCCCGTTCTTGGGGTTTGGGTTAGAAACTTAATCCACATTTCTTGCTCATAATCATCACTTGATTGGACACAGTGTTGGTGTTTGAAGGAAAATATCAAGAACACTCTAGCAGTTCTAGTTAACTGCTACCATCCTTTAACTTAGTTGGTGTCTTTTCTTGCTTATTTTGGCTAATGCAGCTCAGGATTCTAATAAAAAATTGTTGTTATCTCGTGGCTGCTCAGTGCTGGTATGACAAGTTTTATATTCTCAGTTTCTAGTGGAAAATCAGCAATGGCAGAAGAACTAAGGAATGTGTAGCACGCACAGTAATCTGTCCTTTCACTGAAGGAACACTACGTGTCGATGTCAACATCTTTGCACGTAGTCTATACTTCAAACACCAGTAAAATGTTAATGATTTATTTATTTATACATGTATATAGATATCTTATTTTTTCCTGCTGAGATTTAAGAAAGTTCTTTATGTAAATACACTCTCTCCAATTGTATGAAGTATATGCTCATGTATGTTGACATTTACACTTGATTCTCTTAGGGGACAGCCACTTACATAAATATTGCTTGGAATTTATACCGTAAGTCTCAATAACTGTCTTGCTGATTTATTGTTGAGTTGTTTAATGTTACAGCTCGGAATGTAAGATAGATCAAACAACTCCAATAATATCAGTTTGGACCTCCAGTTAGTGGAGAATGGCGCTTTTGGGGCCCAAACAATCTATCTGAAGGAAATGTTAGCTTAAACACAGCTGAGGGACCTTAGGTCTCTTTAGTCCTAAGAAGTACCCTATAGCAAGGTTGTATTATTCTGAACTTGTTCTTTTTACCAGTATGAAGTTTATTTAATGGTTGACAGCTTCATTTGGTATGTATTGCTCATATCTAGAGAACTTCATGCCTTTTAATCATATAGGCATATTCATTATATCATCTCCTAGCCCCTCATTAATTTCATAATTCTGTAAATATCTCAATTAAAAATACTGTCAGGCTGTGATTTCAGGTTCCTAATTTGAATACTGGTTGTAGCATCGATTAAATAAAATAATTGCATTTTTTAAGTGTATCCTGCCATCACCACAAATTGAACAATTTTGGCAATTAAGAAATGTCTTGAGGGTTACCGGCTCCTAACAGAGGCATAAATTGGCTTTTGTAGTAATCATTTGGCTTCAGAGAACTTCAGAAACAAGTTTGCCTTATTGGGAGAGCTGGTTGCTGGCTTTCTGAAGCTAGGTTAAAACAATTTTTTAAGACACATGCATGAATTCTCAAGAAGTGTAATACAGACCAGAAAAGGAGCAATTTCTACAAATTATGCCCACAATTTTTAGGTATGTTTAACTTAATTTGTACGTGTGTTCAGATGCTGACATTGGGACCTGTCCTGAAAAATAGGTGAAGTTGTCAGAGACTTTAAGAGCTGTGTGAATGTCCTGTGCTTCACTAATTGGGTTGTCCAGAGCTGAGCTAACACTGCCAGTTGTGTGCTACTGTATGCAAATTAGCAATTCCAACTGATGATGCAGGTACTGGAATGGGTTTGTTTAGTCGTTACTGCTCAGGGATTAAAACCAACTCTTCTTCTAAGCCCTCATTCCTTTGACTGCAGCCTTTTGTCTTAATTGCCTTATCTCTATGACCGCTTCAGCAGCATCTGAGCTGCTGGTTGGTACTTTCTCCAAGCTGGTAGTGTCTGCTTTCCAAAAAACCTTGCATGAGCCACAGCCTCTTCCACCCCCTCCTCCCACTTCTGCTAGACATTATCCTAATCCTCAGTCTTTCTCCTGTCCTATATTAATCCTATAAACCCTGAGCAAATCTGTCTACCCCTGTCAACGTTTGGTGAGGAAGGTCCCGTTCTCCAGGGTGACAGCTCTCAGTGCATGGTCTGCGCTGACAGGCTGCAGCCAAAACTGACCACAGTTTGATTCCCCCAGTTTATTTGTCGCTACCCTAAGCAGTTATGAAACCCTCAGAGCAACTTTAAGTGCTTGTGGGATATTCTGAAAATATTCCTTACACATTGGTCCCTTAGGTTGTGTTGCGTATAATGCCTGTGGTGTAGGACTGTCTTTGAGACAGTGAAATTAAATGCCAGTTTTGAAAACAATATGAATAATACAAGAAAAGATATATAGGACAGGCTTTGAAAGATCAAGAGCAAGACTGAAGCAATTAGGATTTTATTCTGGTTACACAGAGCTTTCAAAGAGAAGTGTGAATTGAAAAAACAACTTGACTCTTCATTCCTCTTGTTTCTCTTCTAGAAAATTACTTTAAACTCTCTAATTAACCTTTCATTGGAAGTACTGATTAATTTAGGATTTTCCAATTGTTATAGGTAAAAGCTATCTGTAGCACAGCCTGTCAAAAACATTTTGTGTGAAAGGCAAATATACTAGAGACTGCCACAAATCCTCCTGTGCTAAATCAATGCTTTTGGATCCACTTTCCATTCTGCTTTCCCCCCAATATGCTTTTATTTGTATGATGTGAATGAATCCTACAATCTATTATCCTAGATTAACCTCTTAGTTCTATTTTTTTTATCTAGTTTTGCCTTTAATTTACTTATTTGGCCTTTTGAGTGATTAGCCAACAAACTTTGCTCTGATTTATAAGAACACTCCTAGCTGGTGAGACAATGACTAATCTCTCTAATTTACAGTTACCACTAGTATCTAGACACCCTCCTTTTCAGACATGAAAGTGGCGTAAGAATTATTTTAACTCTTTGGGTTTATGTCTTTGATTATTCAATTGTTTTGTCATTTAATCATTCTAAATAATTGGATCCTCCTGAGAAGTGAAAAGGTTTACAAAAATTGAGGAACAAGGTGCCATCTCATTCTATGTAGATGTGGGATGATTAATAAACAGTTTGAAATGTCATGCATTATTATTAGGCTAAATTAGTAGTCTGCCTGGGTTAGCCTCAGCACTTCAGGAGTTAACAGAGTCTTTGATGGCATCTACTTCCAACTGCTTAATTACAAAACAGATTTGCCTGATCAGGCTTTTGGTTGGTTCTTTCAAACTCTGGTTTGCAAGGTTCATATCAGTAAAAAAACTTTATTATTTTCCTTTGGACTTCTGCATATTGGGAGAATTCTTCATTAGCAGCATTACATATTATTTTGCCTACATGTGGCAAACAGACCTATGCACTGGCTCTTTGCAATTCAGAAATGACAAACTCCTCCATATGTGTTTTGTAGTTCTAAGAAAGTGAATCTTTTTTTTTTTTTTTTTTTTTTTTTTTTTTTTTGGGCCTCCGAAATCTTTAGTGGGGATAATTAAGCAGCAGTTTCATCTGATAATTTCAAAAGGAGGCAAGGTTTTTTTTTTTTAGTGCTTCTTCAGACTGCAGCTTTAGGTTCTGATACTTAAGAGTTTTGAGAGAGACAGTGAATACACACAGAGACTGATGTTCATTAGTATCTTGACATCACCAACACGTTCTGAAGAAACTGCTTATCTTTTGCTTGACTTTAAAAGGTGAAGAGGGGATTAAATTTAAAAACTGTTATCCTACGTAGCTTGCCTGCCTAAGAAATGTCTGATCAATGCAGTTCAGATTTGGTTTGATATCTGTATTTTGTATTAAAGGACTGTAAAATATATATTGTATGTTTTTGTGAATACTCTTGTACAAAATACTCAAGGTTGTAGCGTATTTGAAG